TTCACATTCGTGCAAAAGATTTCCAGCAGTTTTTCATCTTGCAAAATGAAAACTATACCCATTAAACATTTTTCCATTTCCCCCTCTCCCTAGCCCCTGGAAACTACCATCACTTTAATTTTAATTTAAATTAGAACAACTGAGCAGTATAAAATGTTTTTGCTAAGTACTTTATTACATGTAAGAAGTCTCATTACCATTTTAATATTTTAATTACATGTTAAGGTGATAAGATTTGAGATATAGGAGGTTAAATAAAATACGCAATTAAAAATTATTTTCACTTGTTTCTTTTTACTTTTGAATGTAGCTACAACAAAATTTTCAATTACATATGCGGCTTGAATTTTATTTTAATAGGACAGCCCTGCTCTACACATACCTTCTGTATACTCTTTACTTATTTTGCTAAACAATATGACTTATCTCCCTCTTTTGAACTTCCATGGCTCTTTGAATTTCTCTTAGGATATTTATAGAGGAAATTTGCTATTTTTTTTTTGTGCCCGCCAGCATCCTATTTCCTCTTTTCACAGGCATTCCAATCTTCTTTTTGAGGACTGTCCCATGGTGTGGAGTTCTGATGAGAATTTCTGGCCACTTTCCACTACAGAAACCACAGGGGTTGTCTCTGCTAGCCTGGGGGATGGGCACACAAATCAGACTCCCCCACTTGGAAACTTCCTCCCCACATTTTTTATCTTGAGCAAGTGTTCCAAGGTCACGTGAGGTCAACTGGAGGTCCTATTCCTTAAAGCCACAGCAGATTACCACACGTATCTTTCACTCATTCTTTCTGCTTCATTTCTTTTGCAGTGATTCCTGCTGCCTAGTCCTATGCAACATCTAGGTCTTCTAAACTGACTGGAAATCAATCAATTTGATTTTACCGGTTCTCACCACTGATTCTGTGAGACCTGACAACTGTCCAATTCCCATTTTCTTTAAGATTAATAAGAGTTTGTTTCTGTTGTTTGCAACCAAGATCCCTGATTAATATTGCACAAATGCTGCTCTGCTATGTTTTACATTTAGTTCTAGCAAGTTCTAGACTCTGGGGAAAGTCTCGGAATTGAAGCATAAACAGGGGAGAAGGGCTTTGGGATGCGCAGGAGCCAACCTTATAGCTCTGTATACCAAGAAGGCTGGCTGCCATCACTGAAATGAGTGCACACACACACTTTCCAGTCCTAGGGACATGTCTCTTCCAGGAAGAGAATATAATAAACGATCTTAAGTTCTCGGTCTGTGGTAGACAGAAGAATGGCCTCCCAAAGAGGTCCACATCCTAATTCCCAGAACCTATGACTGTTATCTTACATGTGGCGAATGTGACTTTGCAGATATGATTAAGTTAAGGATCTTGAGGTGGGAGGTTGTCCTGCACTATTTGGGTGGGACCAATGTAATCACAAGGGTCCTTAAAGTGGAGAACTTTTCCCAGCTGGATCAGAGAGATGAGACTGTTAGAGCCGGTTCCCCTCGGCCCCAGGAAAAGAGAGGTGGAGGCACCGAGGCTGCAAATGGCAAAAGAGTTTATTGGCTAGCTCAAGCTAGGGTCCCAGTCCCAGAGCACCAACGCAGTGGCCTCCCCATGAACCAGGACCCTGCCCCGGGGTAAAAGTGAAGCTTTTATACTTTCTTTTGCACACGACACACCAGTGGCACACGACATGCAGGTTTTATACGACATGCTGGGCACAACCCCCCCTCCCTTAGTCCATTGGTTCCTTTGAAAGTGGCTGATTGTTTTGACTCCTGATTGGTTGGCTCCAAGCCTCGGCATTTTCAATTTTTGCGCCGGCGCCAGTTGACCAAGAATGCTGGTCAACAACAGCCACAGTGCTGGCCGAGAACAGCTACAATGCCCTGATATGGTGAGCTGGTGGTATGTTTTCTTCTGATTGGCTCTCTCCTGTTTGTGGTTTTTGTGGTTATTCCTGGTATCTCTACTTTACACTCCCGGCATTGGGCATTATGCTGAGGCACAACCTGTCATGGAGTTACTCCTGCTCTTACTCCTACATTTAACAAACAACTAAAAGCAAGCACGGTTATAGAAGCAAATGGCATTAGTTAGAATAAAAAAGAATGCATTTATAAAAACAACAAAGTACATTCTCCGACTATCAATTCCTGTCTTTCATGACTATGGAAGCAGGATTAGAAAGATGTTACACTTCTGGCAAGCCAAGGAAGGTGGGTAGTCTCCAGCAGCTGGAAAAGGCAAGGAAACAGATCTTCCCTGGAGCCTCCAGAAAGCAGCAATCCTGCTGACACCTTGATGTTAGCCTGTGGGACTTCTGACCTATAGAACTGTAAGGTAATAAATCTGTGCTCTTTCAAGACATTAGGTTTATGATCATGTGTAATGTCAGCAAATAGAAAACTAACACAAGGTCCACCCTTTGACCTGGAGATGACACTGCTTGGGATAGTATTTGGCTATATCCCTTGGACAGAAGGGAGGAGGCCGCTGTGTGAAAATCAGGTGCCACTAGCAAATGAAGGGCTATGGTTTGAATGTGTCCCCCATAAAACATATGTTGAAAACTTAATCCCCAGTGCAGCCATATTGGGAGGTGGGGCCTAATGGAAAGTGATGATATAACGAAGGCCCCACTTTCATAAATGAATTAATGCCAATTATAAAAGGGCTCAAGGCTCTTGAGTGCGCATGTGCTCTCTTGCCCTTTGGCCTTCCACCATGGGACAATGCACCAAGAAGGCCCTCACCAGATGCCAGCACCTTGATATTAGACTCCTCAGCCTCCAGAACTGTGAGAAATAAATTTCTTTTCTCTATAAATTACCCAGTCTGTGATATTCTGTTATAGCAGCACAAATCAGATTAAGACACGAGAGAAAGGATGCTGAACAGGCAAAACGTGGATGCCTAGTGCAACCAACCACTGCAGCCCCTTGTACATTGTTTAAGCAAAACTCATCCAGATGAATGTTTAGGGCCAATAACTGATTAGCTTAAATATTTTGGGTGAAAAGACTTGAGGAAATAGAAGGGAGCGTTAAGGAATATAAATCATATATCTACATATACATACATATATATAACTACATCTTACAAATTCTAAATTTTATCATAAAGAATCTAATGAAACTTGAAAACGACTAACTCTCCTTCAGTAAAGATGTAGCTAATTCAGCAAGCTGCCTTAGCACCTAGACATATGGATGTTCCGTAAATTGTTTATGAATCACTGACTTAGGCCGGGCGTGGTAGCTTACACCTGTAATCCTAGCCCTCTGGGAGGCTGAGGTGGGAGAATTGCTTGAGGTCAGGAGTTGGAGACCAGCCTGAGCAAAACAGAGACCCTCGTCTCTACTAAAAATAGAAAAAATTAGACAGGCATGGTGTTGAGGGCTTGTAGTTCCAGCTACTCGGGAGGCTGGGGCAGGAGGATCGCTTGAGCCCAGGAGTTTGAGGTTGCAGTGAGTCACGATGAAACCACTGCACTCTACCTACCCAGGCAACAGAGTGAGGCTGTGTCTCAAAAAAAAAAAAAAAAAAAAAAAAAAAAAAGAAGAATTGCTGACTTAGTTACTAATTAGTTGCTGATAAATGAGAGACTACTGGAGATCTTCTTAGTGGCAAATGAGATGGAAGTTACGGTCCACCAGTCTAAGAATGCAAAAATACTAAAAAAACCAAAGGGGAAATAAAGGGAATTTATTGTACCTGTCCAAAAATCCTGACTGTGGTCACTTAAGGTCATGAGAAGGTCAGAATGAAATGATGCAAGTGAAGTCATCTGCAAAGCTAGGGCTGATGTCAAACACAGCCTCAGCTTCTGAATGCTTGGTCTGACCCTGCAACAGTTTAACAGTCACAGGTAACAAAAGTATCACTTTGAAATATAATAGAACTTTATTTTAAAGGGATCATGTATTGTCAGCTTCTAATTCAGCTAAGAGGTTTGGGCTCCAAAAAATACTTTTCCCGCAGTTAAGGAGAGCTATGCTCAAACGGCAGTAAGGAGTCTTGGTCACCTTTTTCAAGGTGAATCTTTGTTCTGATTAAAAACAATTTTGGCTGTGAGCATTCCTTTAGGAGTTCATGTATTGATTTGCTTGTGTTTTGTTGTTGGGATTTGGGAGTGGTGGAGAGGAAGGGGTTTCCTTTCAAGAGCTAAGAAGGCTTAAAAAGGGAGGATTTTAGAAGTGTCCTCAGTGCTGGCTATACACCGTATTCAGGAATATCTGGGAGGCTTTAAAACAAACAAACAAAAAACCGATATTCAGTTTGAAAACTCTGGAAGTGGGACCTTGGCACATGAATGGTCGAAAAGCTCCCTACACAACTCTAATGTCTGGCCAGTGCTACCAGAGTTAAGAACCACTGCTTTCGAATTTCCCAGCGTGGTTACCGTGTGGGTCATTAGTTTCGTGGCATCCTCTCAGGGAGGAAAGCTCTCACAGTGCTTCTCAAGCATCAGTGCGCCCGAGAGTCACCTGAAGCGCTGTTTGAAATCCAGATTCCCAAACTCCATCCTTAGAGAGCCCTAGAAGGTCACGCTTGCAGGCGCCTAGGAATCTTCGCTGTATCCGTGCAAGTAGTCTGATGGTCACCGATGGCCAGCAGGGAATGCCTGGTGCAACAAAAAAGACAGTTTGTGAGTAGCGACCCCCTAAAAACCTGTTTTTCGTTGGCCTCTGGGCAGTTTTGACCCAGACCACTGAGGAAGGTGACTTGAGTGTGGCTAGGAAGTGTGGCGCTGGGTGTGGTCGGTTCTACGTTCCGGCACATTCCCTCCGGGCGGGAGGGGGTGTCTCTCCAGGTAACCTTTGCCCGCCGCCGCTTCCCACCTGGGCGCCGCAGGTTGGCAGCCGGCTCTCGCGTCGGGAAGCAGCGCCCGGGCGTGGGGGTGGGGGCGGCGGCGGGCCGGGCGCGCGCACCGAGGGCCGGGAGTCCGCGCGCGGCCCCGGCCTCACCTCTTCGCGCTCGCGGCGCCGCCTCCTCCCGTCGCGCCGCCGGCGCTGCCCGGGGGCGGGGACTCGCCGCTGCGGGGCCGAGACGCGGCGGCGCTGGACGCGGAGCGCGCGGCAGGCGGGAGAGGGGCCGGGCGGCCTCGCAGTGGGGCCCGCAGCGCCGAGCGGCCGCCGGAGCCGCGGAAGGAGGTGAGTGGGCGGCGCGCGTCCCCAGCCGCCGGAGCCGCGGTCCCCGACCTCCGTCCTCAGCCCCGGACCCCCGGCCCTGCGACATCGAGTCGGTCCCCGCACACTCCTCGCAGCTCGCGCCCCGGCTGCGCTCAGGGCTGGCTCCCCACCTTCCCGCACCCGGGCAAACCGCGGCCCCCGGACCCCTCGGCTCGGTCCCCATGGCCGGGCGCGCGCCCCCTGGCCCTGCGGCGAGGGGCCGAGCGAGGATTCCCTGCGCCCGCGGAGGCGATGCGGGGGCCTTTCTTTTTGTTCAGAGCTTTGTCACGCGCGTCGGCATCCAAAGTCAAAAGCGTGCACCCCCGAAGTCGCACTAGTTTCAGTTCTGCGGCGTGATCTGCACGAGGGGCGGGGGGTGGCCGAGCCTCGAGCCTCCGCCGCCGCCTCTTCCTCCGCTCCGGCCCCAGGCGCGCTTGGCCGCCGCGGGTGCCCACGTTCCCGAGGCCGCGTCCAGGCAGGTGACCCGGAGCCTGGCGCCGCGTCCTCCCGCCGCGCGGCTGAGCCGGCTCTGAGGGATGCTCCCGGTTCTCCGGTATACCTGTGTTTTCCACCTTTGCCAGTGTGCAGGATCTACACAACTTTGCCCTGCTATAAAAAATAGTGGCCTGGGTTCATTCACTCTTTCTGTTTCACACCCTATTTAATATTTTTAATTATTTCTTTTTAAAAATTAAAGCAAAATGGGAAAAATACCCATTTGGATGAATGTTCTTTTTAGCGGAATTTAAGAATCATTATATTCGAAATGCCATGATGATGGAAGTCATTTTCAGATGTCCCATCCCCAGACTTGGAAAACTAAACTTCTGTGGCTTTCACCGTTTTGAGCTTTCCTTTGTCTGATTTGGGGTCCCTAGGCCCTACATTAGGCAGATATCGAGGAACGTTTCTAAGGGCGGGTTATGAAGATGTACAACGACCTGATGAAGTATTTAGCAGCGCTAGAGTGACTTTGGTTCATGGCCATCAGATTGGCTCAAATTTGTCAGTTTTGGTATTTCTGAATTTAGGGGGGCGTGGGGTCTGGGGAGCAGTACAATCTCTTGTAGATTTTTGTGGCTCTCTGAAGGCATTCTGGCTCCTTCTACGTGTGTTATAAAAGATTAAACCAAGTCCGTGCTGTTGGTAAGAATAATTTTACTTTCTTTGTAAATAGAAACCAATAACTTGCTAGGAGTTACTGTTCTTAGTCCAGGCACTCAATTCTTAAGGTGTCAGTGGATACAAATTGAATTCTTAGAGAGGATGTTTTAAAAAAAAGGTTAGATTTTAAGACATATTTTCCTCTTCCAATGAGCGGTTACCACATTTTCACATTTTTTTCATTGAGTTTGCACAAAAATGAAATAAATGAGAGGGAATGCATGCTGGAGAGGTACAAATTGTGGTGACGTGGATATTAGGAGCTAAGGATGCCATCGCTTTCTAATTACTGGTTATAGGTTCAGTTATTGATGGGAGATTAAAAGATTTAGCATTTATGTTCCTTCTTTTTTTTTTTGAGGGGTGCGACAGAAACAACAGGACAGTTGACCATGTCAGGCCCAGGGCAGTCTATGATAGCCCTGTGTTTATGGGGCCACCTTCACCCAGCAGGGAGGGAACTGCCAACCAGACCTTGTCCTGTGAAGGTGCAAACTGGCTTTCTGTATCAGAAGCAGAAAGGGCAGAACCTGGGGAAAATGCCTCGTGTGGACCAGTTGGAAGGGTGGAGCATCACTTTAAGCAGGTGTGCTGAGCAGTAGACAGGTGTCTGTTGATGGGCACTGTTAGTGAAAGGGAGCTTGTAGGCAGCGTGGTCCCTAAAGACCAGCCCTGCTTCTCAAAGGACCTGGTGTGGTGAGGAAGGAGGAAGGTGTTCTCTTCTGTGCCTTCGGCTTTAATTGTGTTGCATTGTTGTTATTATGTGTTTTTCTTTTTTTTTTTAAGAAGTCGTCTTATGAAAAGATTCATTTCTTTTTTAATGACCTACTGTGTGAAATAACATCTGTGATTGGAATTTTTTTTTTTTTTGACCTAAGCCCTTCTTTTTTGTAAAGAAAAAAAATCTTTAAAATAATTTCCTTAGTTGGGCATGGTGGTGCCTGCCTGTAATCCCAGCACTTTGGGAGACCATGGTGGAAGCATCACTTGAGACCAGAAGTTCAAGACCAGCCTGGGCAACATAGAGACACCCTGTCTCTACAAAACAACAACAACACAATCAGCTGGGGCGTGGTGGTGCGTGCCTGTAGTCCCAGCTGCTGTGGAGGCTGAGGCAGGAGGATTGCTTGAGCCCAGGAGTTAGAGGTTACAGTGAGCTATGATCATGCCATTCTACTCCAGCCTGGGCAACAGCAAAACCCATTTCATAAAATAAAATAAAATTTCTAAACATGTGAAAAAGTAGAAGGAATGATCCTACTGTGCTTACTACATTTTTGCTCTCACCTTAGTAAAGGATGTATGATATTTCTCTTGCCCCCAAAAGATGTTCTTAAAAATCATGGTTGTTTTCTTTTCTAGACTTTTCAAGTTACTGATGAAATTATGTTAAAAGAGAGACTTGTCTTGAAGTTTAAGAATTGTTCCATAAATCTCCAGAAAGTCTTTCCTTTGCTTCACGCAGAAAGTTCACATACATTCAGAAAAAGAGGTCCATGCCTTCTCAGATTTTTACAACATTTTGATCTTTATTTTCCTTTGAAACCCTTGAGGGTTGTATTAATAGAACTTGTCAATAAGATTTTGGAGATTAATTAGTGCCTGTCAGAAAAAAATACATATGTAAATACTACATAATTTGATTCTAGTGGTTTATATTGTAATTTACTATAGTTTCCCAACTTTTTTGATCATTCTCATTAGTTAAAAAAAAACAAAAACCTAGCACTCCCCTGTGTGTGCGTTTGTTGCTTATTTATAAATTGTATACCTGTGCTGTTATGGTTATATGTATCTCAAGGCCCAATATACACTTAGGGCTAGAGTCATTGTTAATGACACTGGTAGTAAAACCCTATTCAACATACTCTTTCTCTTAATTTTGAGTATTTTGGGCCTATTTCTTGTCAGGTTGGATTATATCGTCATAATTTTTGCTCCACGATGTGTCTCATGCAGAACTGACTCAATTCACAGTTTTGCCAGCCATGGTCTTGTGCTCCCCTGTGCTTGCATTTATAAGTGAAATAAACAAGTGTCTGATTTGGAAGGTCTGGGATGGGCCAGAAAATTTGGATTTCTAACAAATTCCAAGGTGATGCTGACACTGCTAACCCAGGTTTGAGAACCGTTGCAGAAATTGGCACCTCTTTTCTGTAAAGGGCCAGATAGTATTTGCAGGCTGTATGCTCTCTGTCACAACTACTTAATTCTGTTGTTGTAGCCCGTAGCCATAGACAGTCTGTAAATAAATGGGCGTAGTTGTGTTCTGATAAAACTGTGGACACTGAAGTTTTAATTCCATGCAGTTTTCATATGTCATGGAATATACTTTTTTTCCCAAACAAAAAACTGTTTATTGAGCACTTACCATGTGATATATGCTTTACAGCCATTATAAATTTTAATCCTCACCAGAAAAAAAGTTTTATAGATTTTAAAATCTCATATCACTGCACCCTAGAACATGGGGATAGTAATATCTTCTTTACTGGACTTTTATAAGGATTGAATAGGATACAGAGAGGTTGCATAACTCACCCAAATTGACACAAAAAGTAAGCGAGAGAGCTGGGATTACAACCACATTCTCTAGCACTCTGGGAGGTTGAGGCGGGAGGATCGCTGGAGGTGAGGAGTTGGAGACCAGCCTGAGCAAGAGCGAGACCCCGTCTCTGCTAAAAACAGAAAAATTAGCCAGGCATGGTGGCATGTGCCTGTAGTTCCAGCTACTCAGGAGGTTGAGGCAGGAGGATCTCTTGAGCCCAGGAGTTTGAGGTTGCAGTGAGCTATGATGATACCACTGCCCTCTACCCAGGGTGACAGAGCAAGACTCTGTCTCAAAAAAACAAAAAACAAAAAAATGAATTCTGCCTGACCCAAACCCATGTTCTTCTAAGGCACTGCCTCAATAGTACCACTGTGGAAGCACTCAAAATAAGATGTAGCTAAACAGACATCTAATGTCACTTCATGGCCTTGAGATTCTCCAGTGTCTCAGACATAAGGGGCAGTGGAAAGAGCACTGGACTGGGAGTCACCTGACCAGATTCCCATCCCTCTACCGGTAGGTCTCTGTGGGGGTTGGGGACTACATTGAAAGTTGCAGCCAGTTCTTAGTTCTCCATAGTTTTCAGTTTAGCTGGGCTCCCTCATGCATGCATAATCTTCCAGTCAGCCAGGAATATGTGGAGAATTTATCTCAGCCCTTTTGTAATGCTCTTTTATGAATATTATTCTTTTAACGTTTTGACCATTAAAAAATATAAAAACTGGTCTTAGCTTGTGGGTGGTATACAGAAACAGGGGGCTGGCAGGATTTGGTTGTTGGGCTGCAATTCGCGACTCCTGAACTCAAGGAAAAATTTGGGAGCCCCTACCAAGATGTAGTCCTAGTGGCGAGCGGGGTGCTGGGGAGGCTTTCTTCAGAGAATTCCAAGTACTAGATTAAACAAGATGGAATTCGGTTCTTTGATTTTCACTCATCCACTCACTTTTTGGTGTTTATACCATCTCACGCTAAATATGCACATTCATTTTTAAAGTTTTACTCTTTAGAATCTATCAGCTTCCAGCATTGGGGAAGACATGGTGTTTATAACTGGGGGTTGGGGAAGTGAGAAGAGGGGATTCTGAGTACTTCCTGGTAAGTTTTTAAAGCAACTTAAGCAGAATTCAGCGTTGGTCATTTAGCCCTAATGGGTTAGCGGGAGAGTTGACAAACTTTCTAAATGGCCAGATAGTAAATGTTTAATCCTCCCAATAACCCTAGGTTAGGTCTCTGTCTCAACTATTCCATTCTGCCACGTAGCTGGAAA